CCCTGGTGACACCAGAAGGAAAGAAAGGATCTGGGGATCTTAAATAATGTGTTCATTCAGAATAAATACATTGGGTTATATTCACACAATAGGCTATTATTATAATACAACAATGTGAATGAACAAACTATAACTACATACAATGTGGATGAAATTCATTAATATAATGTTGAGCAGAAGAAGGCAGACAAAAAAGAGCCCTTTCTGTACAATTCCACTTGTATAAAGTACAAAAACAGGTAAAACTAATATATGTCTTATAAGTTAGGACAGTAGTTAGCCTTGGGGAAGGCTCAGAGGAGGTCAACTGGGCAGAGGGAAATGGAGTAGAAGGGCCCCAAGGTGATACATGCCTGGGGTAGGTAGAGAGGGTAATAAAATCAAAGACATAAAAGGGTGCCAACTCCTCTAGGATCTTATAGGTCACTATAAAAACTTTGACTTTTATCTGAGAGAAACAGAGAGGTATTGCAGGGTTTTGCAAAGGATTCCTTTGAGGCCTCCTTTGAAAAAAAGGCGCACTCTGGCTGCACTGTAGACAATATAATAGAGTGTAGGAGCAGGTGTCGACTCAGAAAGACCAGTTAGGAGGCTGTTGCTGGAACCCAGACGAGAGATGAGGATGGTTCAGATCAAGGTGGATGGATGGATCAAGCAGTGGAAGTGAAGTGCTTTGATTTTGGATATTTTCTCAAGATAGTTCCTATCCAATTGAAAGTGGGAAGTGAGATAAAAGGAGCTGATGAAGATTCCATAGTGTTTTACTTTACTGGAGTTTTAAATTACCATCAGCCGAGATGGTGAAGGCTGTGAATAGAGCAGGTTTTAAGGAGCTGATGATCAAATGTTTGGTTTTGGACTTACTGAACTTGAAATGATCTATTAGATGCCCAACGGGAGATATCAAGTACATAACTGTGTATACAAGTCTGGAGTTTGAGCATTCTTTGATGAAGGTATGCATTTGGGAGTCATCAGCACATAAATGCTATTTCAAGCCATGAGACTGATGTGTTTGACACACCCTGTTTGGGTAGAGGGTAAGGGTGAAAGCTTGACTGGAGTGGGTTTAAGAAAGAATGATAGGAGCTAATAAATTGGAAACAGTAAGTATGAATAGCTCTTCCATGAAATTTTGCTGTGGTAGCTGTCCAGGGAGAGGGGACAAGAGAATCATTTTGAAAGTTTGAGAACTGAAGTCATCTCAACTATCTTAATGAGCCTCAGGATAGTATTTTTATCTAACTTTTGCTAATTTTTCTGCTCTCATTTTCCATAACGGACAAGCAGTCCCTTAATTTAGCCACACCAGCCTAGGCACAGGACCCCAAACCCATGCCTCCACTCATCAGTTCACTGAGCCAGAGACATGCACCTTCTCCTCAAACCTGGCTAAATTCTAACTAGTTCTTCATATCTCCTAAGAGTCACGTTTTTCTAGACGCATTTCTGAACCTGCCCAGGCACGGTCTGATTTTATCCCCTTGCTTCTACAATATTCTGTGCATATCTCCGGCGTCTTCAAAACATAATTGTTGAGTAAATGTTTAACTAGCACATTGTTTTGTACACCTGAAATTAATTTTTTTTTAAAAAAACGTAATTGTTGAATGATTTGCTGAACGCTTAGTAGGTCTGACTGGAGCAGAGTAATAAATAGGAGATTAATAGGAGACAAAGGAGGGGAAAGTGCTGCAATTTGTAGAATGAAACCTATTGTGAAGAAAATACAAATTGCCAATATCAGATATACAAATATCTTCATGAAAATTACAGGTTATAAAAGTAAATGTCTGTCTAGTCATTGGTTGGCAATATTTTGATGAATAGGTCATTCCTAGCCTATCTTTGTTCAAATGATTTGCATATATTATGCAAATAAAGAGAACTGCCTAAAGAACGCCCTTGCTGCGTGATGTCGATGATACACTTCCTTGGACCCTTCGATTGGCCTGTCTATTCACCTCATTTGCATAACGGGATTTAATAAATTGAAGATCCCGCCCCTCTGGTGCTTTCACTTCTCGGGAAAGAACGCGTGAGTAGGGACTCTTCCCTGGTTACGTAATCTCCGCCTTCCGGCAGCTAATCCCTTCCGCCCCGTCCTCTTGCTGTCTCCTCCGCTGAAGGCACCACGGACCATGCAGCGTTTCCTTCCACTCTAGGCGTCCTTACGTCTCTCCGCTCTTATCTTTCCACGAACGCACGACGCACGCTCCACCTCTTTCTCCCCCCGTCCACCGCCTGTGCAAATTCTACACCTCAACTGCCCGGCCGACCAGCGCCATATTCCCGCCCCCTCTACACGTCTCAACGGCCAACGCCACACCTCTTCAGCCAATCGGCGCCCTAGCGCCCTGTAAATCCCTCCTCTTTATGCAAATAACCTATGCCAGCTCTTCACGC